AAATATTAGCTCTACTTAACAAGTATTATTTTGAGTTGCATAATTGGAAGCCTGAAGCATTCTAACACCAATCTTCAGGACAGTATCACAGCCCTATAAAAGTGTACAAATGCTAAGTACTGACACCATAATACAGGGGTAGTCAACCTTGGCTCTTTTATGACTCGTGAACTTCAACTCCCAGAATTCCTGAGCCAGCTCAGGAATTCTGGGAATTGAAGTCCACGAGTCATAAAAGAGCCAAGGTTGACTACCCCTGCCATAATACAACTGATGTGAAGAAGGCAACAAAGTGTCGCCAGCCTTGTGCTTCATGAAAGGAGAAGAGAAAAAGGTTTAGGTTTCTGTTATCTCTGAACTTCTTCAGAATGGGGAAAAGATGACATAATTCTAGTTTTTGGAGTCTAGTTTTTTAAAGAAAGCAGAGTCAATGATTAATATTTTATGGCAAGGAAAGGCAAGATAAATCTCAAAAACAAATATGCTAAAGCACTGTATATAAAGAAAAAAACTCTTGTTTTTAAAAAGAAAGCACAGGAAATGGTATATAGCAATAAATGAAACATTTTAATGTAATGTTTTCTGTTAGGTCTGTGCTCATAATAGCTTTGGCAGATAGTAGGGAATTCTCAGTTTTCACTATTTGCAGTCCTTTCTTCTTTATGGAACATTTTATCAAAGGCTTAAAGTTATAATAATTGTTTGAAACCATATGTTACACTGGCTTATATGAAGCTAGCCAAATGTGGGGTTCATTTGACCCAAACTGAAAGAATCCCCCTGGATTTAATAATCCAGTTTATGACATTTTGATTTTAATAAATATTGGCAGTGTTATAATCCAAAGTCCATTTGCTGTGGATTCAGAATGCCCAGAATACTTTATGGTAACTTTTCTAATCTTATATAGAAAATACAAAAACTTTTTAAGATAAAAACTAATCCAGATAAGTTGGTGTGTGACAGCAGAGAAACTATCTAGAATGTATAAAGGGACTTCAAATATATATTGAAAATGTGAACATGTGAAGGGATATTTTATCATGCTTAGTGGGCATATAAAAAAGCTAAAAAAATGGATTCAAATACATACTTTGATACTGCAGATTTTAAAGATTAATTATTCAATTGAAGCCAAAAACCTGGATCATATATAAATAAGACAGGAAAATATAGAAGTAGTGTTTTGGGAGGAAGACATGGAAAATTAGTGGGTGTCATTTGTAGGATAATACAGTGAGACAATACAAGAATTATACAGCAAGAGACAAAGGTACGAAAATAAGACATAAAATGAGATGCAAAGACAATTCAAACTGATTAAAGAGAAATTAATTAATTAAAATAAAATACGAAGAGTTAAAATATATCAAAACTTCATTATTAATGATAATGTTAATTTAGTCCTCTTAAATTAATACAGATATAATAAATGGATCTCTGAGTTATTGAGAATTACACATCCCTGTAAAATATTTTTTTCTGGATTGTGTTTTGCAGCACCCCTATGAAATACAAAGTGAGACTCAAATAATGGTTGAGCTATGAGCTTCTTGGCTGTTTTCTTGAATTGCCCACTTTCAGAGTTTTCTTGATTTTTAATGCAGTTTCCATTGTGTCAGTGCCAAGTAATCTTTTCACTATCTCCACAATACACTGAATTGGGAAGCTTTGAATAGTAATAAGATTCCATCAGTTCAGTAGAATATTTACTAACTAGAAAATGTTGGTTTCCTCTTGGGAGCAGTTGCACTGTCAGCCTTTCTGTGCTTCTAGTTAGATTAGTAATTTTCCATTTATTCATATCTCCGAATAAGCAATGAAAGGAACACATCTAGCCTAGCGGTACTGAACTGATTAATGCATGACAGAAATGAAATAATTGGTTCCCTAGAGTCTGCAGAAGTCATTAAAATGTAATGTTACCTTCTTAAGGTACCACCTTACAAACCGGCAATTAATCTGTTGTCAGTATATCTAACTTCCTCTTTATCAGCTTACATTTCTATGATTCTTCAAATGATCAGAATTTATATGTGTTTGTACTAACAATAAATATCAGAGGGATTCAGTTAAATCATGCTGGTGTCATAATAGAGCAGGGAATATAGCATAAACCCAGCAAACATTACTAAGCCTTCAGATATGTCCTTAGATGCATGCCATACTGCTTTTGCACTTTAATAAGCATTTATTAAATAACAGGAATGAGAAAGCAAAACAAGGGTATTATCTTTTCTCATTAAACATCACTAGAAAAAAATTATGGGTGTTTGCATCATATGAGCAATGCCCAGGAAAAAACGGGAGGGGAGGTGGATGGAAGATAGATGAATAATAGGCAGAAACCTCAGCAAATTATCCTTTGAGAATTGGGCATTTTGTGAATGGCCAGACACATTATGGCAGCCATTTTATGAATAAGCAATTAGCTAAAATGTTATAGTTGATATGTCCCAAAGGGTTGCTTATTCTAGAATAAACCAGCCTATTTCAGAAAGGACATCCTGAACAACCAGGAAGCCTAATAGCTTTCTCCCAAAACAAAGACTTCTATTTCTTAACTCGCATTTTTGGAGACAGGAAGTTACATTTTGTCTCCAGTAGCTCCTCACAGAATGACAGTATTCCATCAAGGTCCTTTAGAGACATTAGAAGGATTCTTCAGTGCTTGCAAGCAAAGAGGCATATCATTTGTGAAATATAAAGTCAGTTAGTCTTGAGAATTTAGTGATAATATTCATGCCAATATTCATGGCTCCAGAAAGATCTCTAGTGATCTTGATTTTGAAGACCAACAATTTAAAGTTTCATGTAAAACATTTGGAGATCTATAGGATGACTTAAATCAACCCAGCACAAAGTCAGGGTATAAACATAGCCACCTCACTATTTGAAAAGAATCTGGTATTTCATAAGATGCTAAGTGATTAAATTCTTATGTTTATTGATGCAGTTATGAAGATCTTTTGCTCTCTGATTTCCAAGTCGCCAAAATGATTTTTAATTCTTCTGTCTTTTAATGCTTCTCTGTGAAACTACAGAGAAAAATCACAGCATTTCTTCTCAGTTTGTTACAGAGTGGCTACAGCATCCATCTGCTCTTCATTTCAGTGAGATCTACTGATGATGCTAATGGCCATCAAGACAAACAAACCTTAGTAGAGGTTATTTTGTTCCTCCCAGGTTGGTTCCAGACCTACATATCTCAATGATATCAGCTCAATCTGAGGGCTGTTTTACCAGGAATAGAACCAAAGCTGAAAAACTCCTTCTCTGGCTTGTGGGCGTTCTGTTTCTTTACTGCCTGAGCTTTTGGCCTGCACCTCCCAGTTTCTGAGTATCAATAAGTCCATTCACCTCACCTAGTTTTACTGAATCTTATCAGTAAAACTAACCTTATTTTTTTCTAGCTACTTTCTAATACAAAACTGTTGAGAGTTGAATTCAGAAAGCATTCACTTTGATGTCTCATTAACATAAACAGGAATAACCCTGAGATTATTTTGAAACTTTCTGGAATTTATTTCTAGCAAACCTTCCTATGTAACTAGATAAGCAGTCCAGTTACATGTAGTTTGCTTTAAAGAAAATTGATGGAATTATATCAGAAGTAAAAAATCTTTTCTATCTTGTGTGGTTGTAACCAAGCTATGGAAGCCTGTTGTTCCCCTTGCTGTACAATATGATTCCTTGACTTGCAGAATGTTTAGGAATGGTGCAAAATACATCACAGGGGTCTGAAAATGGAGAGGGAAGTTAATCTAAATGTTGTCCTCCCTAATATAAATGGGGAAATGAGTTAGGTTCTATGTTATTGAATGAAGGAATTATACTGTAGAATGTTTGTGATTTGACATGTATTTGCTTTTTGTGTGTTTATTAAATCTCTACACATTTGAGATCCTGCATTTCTTTTATGTTTTAGGAGAGCCAGAATTTAAATATGTTGGCAACATGCATGGAAATGAAGCTGTTGGAAGAGAACTTCTTATCTTCTTGGCTCAATACTTGTGCAATGAATATCAGAAGGGAAATGAGACTATCATTAATTTGATCCATAGTACACGTATCCACATCATGCCGTCTCTGAATCCAGATGGCTTTGAGAAGGCAGCATCACAGGTATGTGCGTCATAACTCCAAAAGCAAATATTTGCATTTGTATGACCTAGTTTAAAAAGACTGACACATGATTACATTTTAATGAAAGAAG